GCTAGTTTTTTCTATATATTTTTAGCTGTCCAATTAATTTCTTTCTATTTTTGGTAGAGACAGGGTCTCACTCTTGCTCAGGCTAGTCTTGAACTCCTGAGCTCAAATGATCCACCCACCTCGGCCTCCCAGAGTGCTAGGATTACAGGCATGAGCCATCTGTCTTTTATTTGTATTAAATCCTCATATCAACCCTCTGAAACAGGCACCACTATTAGCCCCATTTCAAAGATGAGGAAGCTGTGGCCCAGAGAAGTTATTATAAATAAATTGCACACGGTCATCAGCTAATGGGTGGCAGAGCCAATACTTGAACTCGGGCACTCTAACTGCAGAGCCTGTCCTGACACTCATTACACTACATTGTCAGAATCAGTAAAATTTAGGCCAATTGAAGGACGATGCCCAGAGCTAACATTCATCTCTGAGTCTCAGGCAGAGACAGATTTTTTTTTTTTTAAAGTAAAAGGGTCATGAAGGACCAAACATCAACCCTTCACAGAGGAAAGAAACTACAGGCTGAAAGTCAACTACGCAACTGTGGACTGAAGTTATTTAAGCAAAGATAAATAAAAAATGACCCATCAAATCAAAACCCTGTGTGCCATAGAGCACTTTAGGGGCCCTGCGTTCAACCACAACGAACTGCTTGTCTGTGAAAAGGAGAGTAAAGAGCTCCAATCTCAGGGGAGACCCCCTCCCACAGATCCTCTGTGGTAGATAATTCACTGGATTCGGTGTGAAAAATATTCTGAGGAACATAACCAAATTGAGACACTCAACTTCTTATTAATTCAGGTCGTGCCCCTCTATTCACCAAAGAAGCCGAAGGACTAAACAGAGATTACAAACCAATGACAACATCCAGCCAGCCAGCTTGTATTTCAGAGAACAGTGAAACGAAGCCAAGGTAAACACAACGGGTTGAGTCAAGAATTCACCTTGAGCCCCAGATAAAACCGCCTCTATGAAAGAGGAGTGAGAAGCAGATGGGATCCAACAGGAGATGCAACCCAAGATAAAACAAGAAGAAAAGGAGAAAGAAAGCATGACAAGCAGGGGACAGATGAAAAATACCCTTTGGAAGAAGAAATGCTCCAAGAATCAATACAATTTCAATCAAACATTTTTTTTAAAAATAAAGAAAACATAGTCTCTTTGATTAAAGAAGAGATATAAGTGTGATCAAAGCTGGAGAAGAAAAGAACTGGCAGAATAAAGGAAAGAAATCAAGTAAAATATATCATCAACATAGAAAGAAAATCCACATTTAACACAGTAGAATGGATGATGCTGATAAAAGTCACATAGATTGTAGTAGAGATTAACGGAGAGGAAAGTAATCAGGACTACAGCCTACAAATGGATCAACCTTTGTGCTAAACGAAATAAGCCAGATGCAAAAGGACAAATATTACATAATTCCTCTTATATGAGATACCTGAAATTAGTCAAATTCACAGAGACAGAAAGTAAAATGCTGCTTGCCAGGGGCAAGAGGGAGGGGGATAACGAGAAATTACAATCTAATGGGTATGGACTTTCGCTTCGGGATGATGAAAACGTTCTGAAGATGGATGGTGGTAATGTTTGCACAATGACATCAATGTTCTTAATGCCACTGAACTGTACATTTAAAAATAGGTATGATGGGAAATTTCATGTTAGGTGCATTTACCACAACTTTTAAAAAAGGAAAAAAGTAGTTAGGACTTGTTGAGCCATCTCAGCCAAAGGTCTTACTTCAAACTCCCCACAGTCAGGCCTGACTTCAGGTCTGGCCTGAGGTGGGCTGGGGAGGCACACCTCTCCTCCACTGCCCCACCTGCCAAAGAAATTTCTTTAGCAGCTCATCCCATTGGTTAATCACTGCCTGGCTTCTGGAGCCCTGAGGGCTAAGAGGTGTCAGTACTCAGGCAGTCCAACCCTAAGTCCTTTAACAGTCCCTTTCTTGGGAGAGAGGAAGTAGGAACCTGAGAGCACCTGGGGCAGGGGTTGGGGAGGGGCTGTGCCTCTACCGTCCTCACCATCTGGCTCAGGCACCACCACCACCGTCTGGGATTTTTCATGTGGCCTTTCATCCTCTGGTCCCAGAGACCCCTCCCACTTCCGAAGCCCTCCTGCCACATCCTACCTCTGGCCTGGCTGGCTTTCCTGGTAACCTCCAGAGCAGCCCTTCCTTTCTGAGGTTGTTGCAACGTTTGCCCCCACCTACCTCCCAAGCCCACCTCC